GAGGGTCATTTTTAAAGTAAGAATCGTTTTGTCATAAACTGATAACAATTTATTGTAACTCAACGTCCTTGTTTTTACAATGAAAATATATCTTACACTATTTTTCAACGTAATTACCGTTGACATCCAAGCATGTTTGATATCGGAAAACGAGCTTGACGGTGATCCCCTCGTTAAAGAACTCTGCCGCCTGTTTTTTGAACTAGTCGGTGATCGTTTGGTAGACGTTGTCATCGGTCTGCATGCGTTTTCCGCTCGAAAATTCCTTTAATTTCAGGAACAGATGAAAGTTAGATGACACCACATCTGTTCCTTTTATATCGAACTGCCACAGTCTACCATACTGTCACCGACTTGTTCAAAAAACAAGCGGCAGAGTTCTTAAACGAGGAGATCGTCAACCTCGTTTACCGATATCAAGAATGCTTGGAAAGGAAATAGGGAATTATGTTGAAAAATAGCTTCAAATATATTTTCATTGTAAAGCCACGGATTTCGAGTTACAACAAATTGTTATCAGTTTATAATAAAACGATTCCTATTTTAAAATTGACCATCATACTTTATAATATGGAAACTATAGAAACTTAACGTTCCCTTCTCCTTTAGCAGCTCAGGTGGGATAGGTGGAACATGTTTTTAAAAGAAAGCAAAGAAGATATGATAAAAAAGCTTCCTGGTCTCTATTTATTATACATTCAGATAAATCAAACAAAAATGTTTTTCAATATTTCTACATTGTAAGTGGTGCTAATCGTGTTGATCTGAAATTCACTGTATACAAACGGTGTTCATCATAACGTAAAAATTTATTAACCGATTTTCAAAATTCTTGTGATATTCTTTTTGTAATTGAATCAGCTATCGCATGATCGACTTGCCACGCTACACAGATATTGAAACAAATTTTTTGTTATTTATTTCAGTGTATAATAAATAAAGGCCAGGAAGTTTTTTATCATATCTCTTTTGCATTCTTTAAAGGAAATTTCCTGTCACCATTCTTTTCCGGCCGCTAAAGGAGAAAGAGGCATTAATCCTAAAAATGACGAAGGATCATGTGTCATGGAGTGTCGAGGAAAACGGGATTTACTTAGCTCAGACTAGTCTAGCGAGGTGTGGGTGCAACTCAAGTATATCGTATTTAATGTGATTTATTAGGTAATCCCACAAGGAATTTTTGTAAAATTAATTGTAGTATTAGGTTGCACCACATAAAACTGCCGACATTCGACTAAGCAATAAATCAACCGCGATTAGTAAATTAAATATAATCTAGAGTAAATGTCCTAATTACTTCCAGGGTCCTTAAAATACTGCCACTTTATTAATAATTGTTTACTTAGTAAGAACGTAACGTATAAATAATTGCGTAAAAAAAATTGTATTCTTAAATTGGGACTCTGTTTTAGGTACATAAAAACAAAGAAATACATGTAATTATATGTACCTGGTACTTAAAAATTAATTTTAAATTAAATTCAATTAAAGACAGAGCCGTAATTTTACTCGACCTATATCGATTGTACAAAATTGTTAATGTGTATAAGAATTACTTTCATTTTTAAGGCGATACTTATACGGACATTAAGATTGCCCGCAAATTTTCATTAATTATTAATTAATTCTTCATATTGAATGTATGAAACTATTATTTATAATGTAAGAGACATTAAAGATTGTTATGTTTCAAATTGAGGTGGCTTTTAGGTTAAACATGTAAAACGATTAAATGAAATTACGCTACCATCTTAAGGAGTTAGAGTAGTGTGACAGATAAAAGAAGAAGGCTGTCTTCAGACACGGATTCTGAAAAAAGTCAAAATGATATTAACTTGCAGTTTGGTACTATATTTTTAGCATATTATTAAAAAATAAAATCAATTGTAAAATCGTGGAGAAGATACATACATTAGCTGTACTATAGCTTTTTGCACACAGCTATACAACAGTGTACATGATTGCGTAGTGTAGGAGTGTCTGAAACAAAAAAACGACAATTCTGTACGAACCACAATACAATCTCTAAGTAGTTTCGTTTTTGTTAACATGTTGAAAATTGGCTAAATAACAGCTACTTGAATACTTTCTACCGATTTTTTTCGATATAATGTTTTTATTATAAATTATAAACAAATTAGCAACTTTTGGTCCGCAGAAAAACCTGTAGGAAGTATTCAAGTAGCTGTTATTTAGTCAATTTTCAACATATTAACAAAAACAGATTGTCACCACTTAGAGATTGTATTGTGGTTTATAAAAAATTGTCGGTTTTTTATTTCAGATACTCCTACACTGCGCAATCATGTACACCTAATACCTATCACGTACAATTAATATATTTATCCGTCCCCTCATTTTACAATTGATTTTATTTCTTAATAATATGCTAAACATATAGTACCAAACCGCAAGTTAATATCATTTTGACTTTTTTCAGAATCCGTGTCTGAAAGAAGCCTTCTTTTTGCACCCATCATTCTAGTCTAATAGCTTAAGTTGGCAGTAATTGGGACATCTACCCTTTGTAGATGCATTGTTTAGTGTACTGGTCAGAAATGATAACATCACTGTGCTTCTTTATATCTCGTTTGATTATTGAATTCTTATTATGATTGTTTGGCTATTCAACGTAAGTAAACAATACCCAAATTGCACATGACGCCTTGAAGACGCCAATTTTGCGACTATTTTAGGTCTGAGGCGCCTTCAAGCCGTCTTTAAGGCGTCATGTGCTATCTGGGTATGGTATCAAAGGAATAGTTAATATTTTTCCAATATGAATGTCAATTAGTTTATCGCACAATTAGCTGAATTAAATTATGAAGTTTTGCGTTAGGCACGACAATCATAAGATGTTTATCGAACGAAAAGTTAGGTTTTTTGTTATCGGGAGTTCCTTCCAAGAAACAAAACATTTTCTAATCGAGAATTGGTAGTTGTTGAGTTTGAAGAATTCATATAATCTAAAAACACCCATTTTTATAATAATATAATCTATCAGATAATATTTCTTTCGAAAAAAGCTTACTACTTTAATGGAACAAAAATTATTTATTCGAAATAATCGTTTCTGTTCCGATCTATAGAAATGGTAATTTCATATGGTATAATCTAATAGATCCCAGGAAAATGAATAGTTTGAATATTTTTAATCATTAGTTAATTGCGAATTGAAGCCACGAGTTTGAAAACAGAAGAAGTCCACTGTTAATCTATGGTTTTATATATTTGTATATAAAAAAACTTTGGTATCTGACGATATTGAAAATGATTAAAAATCATTATAAACATAATTAAACTGTATGTATAAACAATACTCACAAAAAGAATAAAAAAAGCTAATGGAGAATTACAATGTTAATTGATGGATTTGCACAGTTTCGGAATTCACGGCTTCAATTGCTTTTTAAACTGTATTACGTATTCCAATAATTTTTAAATTCTTCCTGTAAAAAACGACTGCTCTTCTTCGTTGGAAATGACACAAGAAACGACACTATTTATGTGGTGATCTAATAGTGTTATGGTGTCGCCATTCATCGTGGGCATTGGGTTTGTAGGCTGACCGTTTATTGGATAATTGTGCTCTATAATCTCGGAATATCTGATACGGAATGTAAGATGTGATCGAGGCTGTATGAGGTGATTGAGTAACCGCGTAGATTTGTCAGTCGCGTGAAAAATGCGACACCGTTTGTACGCGTGTCCGTTTCCGAGTTTACCGAAAATTCATTTATGACACCTCGCGCGTACCACGTGTATCATTACCTCACAATCAATTGTAGCGGAAAGGTAAGAACGTCGCATTATCATCACTCGTGCGAACACGTTCGATAGTGTCGAGTTTATCAGCAATGCTTAATCAGTCGTCTGTTTGTCCTCGACCCGTACGAGTGTCTTAACGTGCCACGGTATGTAAAGTGTGAAAAAAGAAAAAACGGTAACAATTACTGAACAGTTTTTCATCGCATTTTCATAGTGTATCTGTAGCGAAGATTTAATTGAAACGGTTCCGTATGTGTTATGCGATTTCTCCTCGGCTGATAATTATGAATGTTATCTTTAAAGTTGAACACTTGCAGCTTTCCGATACACACATTAGAATGTTATGTTCTGAGAATGTACATTCTGTCTTATATTTAACCCTTTAACAGTATTCGATGAGTATACTCGTCATGGGGAGGCAACCATTTTTTTGGTAATGACGAGTATACTTTTTTAGTTCTATTCTTTTGTTAGAATAAAGGAATCACATGATGTAAGGCTTTCATGTGCGTGCATTTTTCTTATTTTCTTCAGTTACGAATTTTTTAAGTTTGTATTAATAATAATTCTTATATTAATGAATTTTGGAACAATAAAATTATTGATTTTTTAAATGTACTAACTCGTAGCAAATGTAGTATTTGCCATTTTGTTGTTTAATTTAATTCAAATTTACAGTAGGTGCATTTACTCTGCGTTTGACGAGTATACTCGTCATCGCTTGATTTTAATTACGCGAGCAGAAACGGGTTTCCAAAATAAAATTCCACCGTTAAAGTGTTAACGCGTTCCCGGTGTTTTCACCCGGCACAATCGAAATTAACGATCATTTCATAGGGATGGAAAGTTTTTAACAGTCGTCGACACGTCACGAATCACCTTCGTTCCCGGTTAGTTTACGTCCCAGAGCTCCGAGTAGGGCCAAAGTTTAACACTTCATGCCCATAACGACACTACACTTAAAATCTGGCTTCTTTTTAGGCTTGACTGAGATTATTTCTATGGCAATAATTTTTTATTTGTTTTGCAGGCTCATTAACTCATTTTGTTTTTACGTTGATGCATAAACTTTCACTATGTTCTCCATATCTGCCCATGCAACTTCAAACAGTATATGTATACTCTAGATTTCTCTATTCATTCTCTTGTTGGGTCTTGATAGTATCTTTTCTCCGATGTTTGGTTTTTTTTCGTATGGTTATTAAAAGTTTTGTATTTCACGTTGATCACAGGTGAAGATCCGATGCTTAGCGACCAACAGCAATATCGATACATGACTGTTGACGACATGAAATCCATGGGGGATGACTCGATGCGTGTAAACGTGACGGACGACGAGAGGGATAATCGACATTCCGGAGGTAAGCGTCTCGTGTCAATATGTTCGTCTTGCATGTCCCAGAAGTGTTTGCACGTTTATATAAATTTCTCAGGCGAGTTGCTCGTAAACTTCGCCGTACCTTATCAGCTAATGGATTTTTAATTTATTTACCGAAACCTTGAGTAACATATGTATGATTACATTGACCATTGTCGTATGTAATACGCTTCGACGACGATTCGAGTGATAACTTATTTAATCTGTCGGGTCTTATTTTCAGGAATTTACACGTTTCTTCATCTAAATTAATATTTGAATAAATAATTTTGCATACGAGGTTATTTTCGTTATTCCTTACAGAGCTAATGGAACATTGAGATACTTAAGCTTACAATTTAGCTGAAGTTAGAATGCCATTGTAGGAAATATTATGGGGTCGTGGTTTTAACCCTGCTGTTTTCCTCGGATCTATGTGACTCGAATTGAAGATTCTATTTCAATAGGTATTATGTTTTTAAATATTTGTTTTTAATTTCCAACGGACTTACATTTTATGCCTACTTTTTGTGTATTGCCCATTTTTTAAGCACAAACTATTTCATAGTTCGAAATAATTTTATTCAAAGGTATCCGAACGTAAAGAATAAGTGACGAAAACAGCAGAGTTAATACTTGTATTGGGTTGGCTAAAAAGTAATGTAATAAAATATGTACATATTAATATTTTATTTTATATCACTAATATTTTAAAAAACATTCTGTTGTCACGCATTACATCTTTACCTTTGTCTTGTTATTTTCATTATAATTCTTATAGTAATATTGATTGATTTAATATTAAAACTATCAAAGCAGTCAAAGTGTCTGGTTTGAAATTTCATTGAACGTTATTCGAACCCATAACAGTATTTTCTGAAATTTTCCGTAAGTTTTTTTTTGAATATGTGAATAAATAACATCATCGTTTTATTAATTTTTATTCTTTCAAATCTCGTAATTCTTGCTAGTCTGACAGAAGTAGATAATTTTATTGTTACATATCTCTTCCTTTTTATAAATACATATATAAAAATAAATGTGTTATATCACGAAGGATCTTATAATTGAAATAATTATATGTCCCTGGAAACGCGGAAGAGATGTCAGAGTCATCTTGATGTATTCCAGCAATAAGTAGAGTGCTGTTCTTTTTGTTCTTAGCGCGGTACCGATTGTAGCCGATGTTAAGTTCAACGAGGTATAACGAAAGGTTATTCGAAATGGCAGAAAGTTAATTGTAAGCTAGCATCGACGCGCAGAGCTGTAATCTTCCAGTTGCAAAAATAAGATGTATGCTCAGATACGTGATATACTACTGAGATCATTTCCTTAGTTGACTTTGACGGTGATAGTTGTTTGCTATTTGTCGATAAGTGTAATTGTACCAAGTCATTAGATGAAAAATCTAGTTGTAGTTGATTCTCATGAGTGTTCTAAATTTGATGAAACGATTTAAACGAAAATGATTGTTTAACACAGTTAATTGTTTGTTCAAAGTGATTAAACGTAGGTTTTATATATGTTTAGTTTCTAATGGTAAATATACATTCTGTTTTAAACATATACAATATATATGTATATATTATGTTACCAGCTTAATAACATTATGTGTTATTATAGAAGGTAATTGGAAATTATTCATTTGCTTGATTACATATAGTAGAAAATGATAGAAAAATAAATAAGTGATTCAAGGATATTTTGTTTTCTATGACTTTATTCTGTGTGTAAGAATTCTAAAGGAAGATTATCAAGAATTGAATAACTTGTTATATAGTTTAAAAAGTGATTTGTACAGATTGGTACAGAGTGGTAAGTTGGTAACCATTTTTTGTACATCGTCTAATTACATCTTTATTCAGAATCGTGCGACAAAAGTACAGTGGTTCTTTAGTTCTTTAACCCTCGTGTACTATTCAGGCCCATTTGACTCGAAACTAATATTTCATTCTTAATTATCTTTTTCATTATAATATTTGTTAAATTAATTTGACACCAGTAGTATATGTATATCATATATGTATAGAGAAAGGTAGATACATTTCATTAATTCGATTTTAGTCCAGTTCCAATTTAATCCAAGGAATAGTAATGCAATAATTTCTTAAACAATGCACGAGGATTAAAAGACAAGTGGATTTAGTTGTATACAAACTTTGTTTCAACCATTCTTTTCTATTTGTAAGGAAACAGAATGATTGGTTCCAGATTCGTAAATTGTGTTTTATTTCAGTAAAAGAAAAGATGTACTACAAAAATATGTTTTGTTCGGACAATCGGACAATAGATATTGTATTTTGTTTTCGAAATTACCGTTAAAATATTGTGTAATCAATACTCCATATTCACATCTACGTAAACGGTCACTGCTTTCAGTATGTTGATAGCACCGAAAAAGTTTATTTACTACATTCTACCACTTTGAATGATGTTTCCCATTAGATATGCTAACATCACATTATTTACTCGGGCGTAGAAGAGATAAAACCTTCGATTTAAAAATTGTAGTTATAACTAGACTGCTGATTTTATGTTTTCGTTGCGAATATTATAAAGGTACAAGATACAGTTATATTACAGTGAAAAGTTTAATAGGATTTAATGAAGTGTTTTGTTCACTTTGTAGCTAACGTGTAGAAACGTTCATCAAAGAAGGGAAGAACTCCTCCCTCTAGTTATAAAATAGAGTCAGTTTCTTCTACATGCATAGTTTCATATAACTTCTTGCTAAATAAGTAAGCTTTTCATATTTAAGCTCGCAGAATGAACCCATTTAACACTCCGACATTAAACCGCAATTTAAACACTTTCTTCTAGCTTTATTAAAATGTTTCTGGGACAGATAAGATATATTTAAGTAAATAACAGTAACAACAATATTACGTAATGTAGATACAGTTTATTACAAATGGAAAATTGATGAAATTTTTCGTAAGAAATATAAATATCTGGGATAAAAATAGCTTTCGTTACGTGAACAAAATTGTATTTTTTAATTTCTATCTCAAAATATTCTTAAATCATAATGGTAAAAGAATTTTACTAAATAAAATGTTCGTTTACAGGCAACTATTTTATTCAAGAAATGAACATTGAAACCTAATCATTTAATGTCAAGAATTTTTCAATTCTGAATTATTATTTGAGTAAAATTAAAATGAGTGTTAGCAAGTAAAATTAGAATGATATTGTAGTATTATTGAAGGTTTGTTGTTATAACGTTGTTTAACTACAAAATGTTTAATGTGTATGCATTTGCTTTGTAGCACCAACTATAACCGAGATGATTACAAAAGAAAACTATCAACGATCGAACGCTGCCAATGTCAAACCAGACAATGTTGATATCAACAGGCACCCAGTACACGTCGGGTATGTACTCATTACAGTTCTCCTATTATACTACAAACTTCACTCATCTAACAATATCCAACAAATCTTACGATTTAGGGTAGGTTGTACTATTCATTTCAATCTGTACTGCAAAATATATTTGGAAGAAAATTGCACATTAATATCTAATTTATAATAATTTATAGTATTAATCTCTGTCGTAAATTTTGACTGCATCGCAAAGTATCGCTTAATTTGTACGAAAAATGTACAACTTACCCAAATAACAAATGCATATCTGGAAAGGTGTTCAAACTATCTGATTGTTCTAAATACTTTATCCGAGAAAAATCAATTCGAATAAAATTGATCTGCAATCTATCAGGATATCTTCCACGTGGTTGTAATCTGCAGAGTTGCTGTAGATATACGTTGTTTCTAAATTCTGTGGATCACCCCTATCGGTCTATGGATTCGCTGTAGTACTTGCTTTCCGATTGGAACAAAACTTTTTGCTCAAAAGCGTGGCCACGAGAACAGATGTGCATTGCTCTGCACTGATTTGAAAATTGTTTGCGGAGTAAACGTGTATGCACGATGAATTGAAAAAACGACTGTCGATCTAACTTCTACTAATTTGAATTATTTAAAAATGAAGAAACAGAGAAATTTAAGAATAGTTTTTTATGTATGCATGTTGTTTGTTTGGGCATTTTATAACATTGCAAGATTCTTGTGAGTAATTGTATTGAATTGAACAGTGTAACAAGAATTTCAGGCTAACGATGAAAATTCAATTTAAAACGGGAATTAGATCTGTTTATCGATGTTTGAATCTGCACGCTTATGAAACAAACTTGATTGGATGTCTAACACAAAGTATTTCGAAATGCAACTTTGTATGATAATGTTGTATAATTACTAAAATTCACTTCGTTGATGTTGAGATAACAGTGTAATTTAATGTATTGAGGTGGAAATCGATGTAGACAACAAAAATTTAATTTCCAAGAGAATTAATATTGTTAACGTTGTATTGGGCAGGGAAGTTTCGTAAAAATTAAATGTATACATGTTACGAGTCCATGTATTTTCGAATAGTTAAGAAAATGTATATAATTAAAGGGGCACTAATGTGGTGAAGAACGTGAAAGCACAAAGCACGCAAGTGATAGAGTACCTAACTAAAGAAACAGTACAAAACGATAGCGAGTATATGTACATTGAGAAACAATAATGTTGTGTATTATAGTGTGACACGGTGTGCGTTGGTGCAAGACTCCTGTTATACAATTAATCCCACAGATTAGTGGCTGATAGATAATATTGAAATGTAATATTAGATCGTGGGAATTAATGTTTATATGAGCTGTACAAAGTGAGCTTCGACTTTCCACTTCCATCTAATTTGACATGTCTACAAATTAATTTATGATTGGCTTGAAACGATTATTGAGAAAAATAAGGGAGCCAGAGAAATTAAAAAAATTTCAAGCGTATAGTGATGAGTACAAGTGTGACCATGTAGATTTTATAGTAAAATTTATGTACGATGTGAAGTGATTATGTTCTATTACACATCATAGATTAGCTGTTTATTATTTTCTATAATAAATTATAGAAAATAATAATTTAATTCAGTTATGAAAATCTGAGTTTGATATAGTATCCATAGTATTTTCGATTTCATTTATTCATATGGAAAAATTTCTTTGATGCTAATAGTAAGAATCAGAGGTGTTTGTAATACTGTTTTGAAGTATGATTGTTTATTGTCAATTTAACGTCCTGTAATAATTCTTGAAGTCAATTTATTTACTCTAAAAGTAAATAATATTTTTTAAGTGTAATATTACAGCACCGGTTGATTACTTTCTGAACTAATCAAGCAAAGTAATTCAGTAATCGATTATTTTAACCATATAATGAGAATGTTACGTTTTAAAACGTAATTTTAATTACATAAGGAATATAACAATTGTTACTCTCTACTTGAAATGTATATGCTCACACTTCATCACTGTCCATGCAACTCTATAATGTACACTGAAATTAAATTATATTATATTGATTACATTATGTGGTAAAGAATTTTCAATAACATATTATTGAAAGATGTCCTGCAAATAATAGTACAGCGCAGAAGTAGGTGATTTTATGTGTAAAAGCAAATCTAGCAGACAGAATAAAATTAGTTCTACAAGCCTAGTTTTTAAGGCAATCAAATCTGATAATTCGTTAAACAAACATTATGTATGATTACCACTTAAATCACGTGTCTGTTTATTACGATTATTCCATTTTAGGATTATTTTATTGATATACAGGATTATTTCCATGACGATTAATATTTATAGGCAATAGTAATGGTACTTCACAATAATTAATACAAATTAGACGATAAAAAACATGCAATACCGTGCCTTTACAGTTGTTACAAGTATACAGAAATAGCGAGTAATATTCAGATGGATAGGAGTTAATCGTTTGCGGAAGCACGTACATTACCCTCCATAAGAATCTTAACAATCTTTGTAAACATCTGGAAAATATGTTACAAATACAATTCTTTTTGTTGATTTTGTCATTCTACTTTATCAAAATTAGATATATTAAATTCTTATAGAAGGACATGAGTCATATTTATTGTCAGAAAATATCGATAACAGTATTATAACAACAATTAAACGAAAAGGTACATATACAATATACATAAAAGCAAGAAGTTACAACTGTCACTTCCTAACTTTTTTTCTGCGTTTAAAAACGAGTCGCTAAGACGTTGCAGACATTTAGTCAGAATGAGTTTTCATTCAACCGTGTACGCTATCGTGGCCATTAATACTAAAGAATTATCGATAGAAAACCGTGATACCACTGTAACATCGATGAAACAAACCTATTCAATACGGACTGTTAACACACTCGATACATTGTGTAATTCAGAATTGCTAAGTATCCGGACGCCTGTAGACTATAAGTGCATATCAGGGAAATTATCAAATTTAATTGTTTCAAAAACGAAGAATCAACACGTTTTATTCCTTTTTTTTTTTCGATTTCTTTTTACACATGGAATCACTTTCGCGTGGATTGTGTCACTGATTATGGGACAGACTCTATATTAATATACTCAAAATCATAATTAGTAAAATTCACGAACAAAAAACGACAGTATCATCGAGTAAGCTACGTCGATTTGTAGCTAATTATATTCGATGAAGTTGTTTCGCGCTAAACACACGTTTGCAGCATAAGATTCCTTATAGGGAAGATAAAAAGGTTATTATGGGACTATGTAATGGGCGGCATAATTCCGCTGTGTTACGTAATCGCGTGCATAATGAACGCATAACAGCACCATTATGTTACCGTTACGAAGGCGTCACGATATGTTTTAAAATGGAGTTAACGAGAACCAAATCCGTAACTACCGTACTAATCAGTCTTCCGTTATCCATCATACGTCTCACGGCAAGCTATTTCAATCCTGTTTTCCTTTTTAATTCTATGCAGAGTGTTTTTAGTTTAACGTTTATGTAATCGGTTAACCAGCTAAACAAGAACCAATTCGCTTGGTGCCCCGTTTACATCGTGTCTTGCCCGTAGCAGTTAATAGATTACATAGTAATAAGCATGTTGTTCCTTGACATATCTTTGGGATGAACGATTCTTTGATGGTATAAGTTTAATCTGATTTGGGCACCATATTTTCCTACTAATACTGGACCATAGTCTGCGTATCTGAGAACTCTGATACTGACAAGGGAAGGCACGGAAGTGTCCCCTTCCGATTTTGATGAAACTTCGTATGTCTGTTAAGCAGTCAAAAATAAGGGATACGTATATTTTTTATCAGCTGCGACGCGACTTTAAGGGGTGAAACCACCCCTTGAACTTTCAATCCGAAATTTTTTTGTTATAAACAAAACATATTTTGGACAATTTGTTAGCACCATATTATTCTACATAAAAAACCGCAAACCTCGTCCATTAGAAGTTTTTTATGTACTCCTTTGATTTTCGAAATAGTACTTTCGGGTGGAAACTTCGAGGGGTGGTTTCACTCCTTAAAGTTGTGTCTCAGCCGATAAAAAAATACGTATCCCTTGTTTTTGACTGTTTAACAGACATCGAAGTTTCATCAAAATCGGAGGGGGACACTTCAGTGCTTTCCCTTGTGAGACGAGAAATAAAGACACGGAGTGAAATGACCTACTAGGCTCAAAAAAAAAAAAAATACAAGGATCCATTTTATAGAGATTAATAGGCATATCAAATTTTTCATACTCAGAGATCAGTATTGTTCGATGGTACCATTGGAACCGAAAGTGTAGATCCAGGGGAAGATTGCTAAATTTGGACTATCGCCTAGGTTGGACCATTACTGTAATTTGCCACGTGTAAGCAATTTGCGCCGTATGATAAAAAATATATGTAACAAATACATGTGTTCCGAATCCGAAAGTTCTGATTTTAATGAAACTTCGTATTAGTATAGAGCATATTGAACTATGCTTGGAGGAATTTTTTGTTCGTGTCCGTTTTCACGGTGAAGGGGTGAAATCAGCCCATTAAGGTTTTGTATTTTCTCGTTGTCTTAATATAACTTTCTAACGATACGAGATAAAGCAACACTGTAAATACAGAGATTGTTCAGTTTTTTATGATCTATTACGCTACCGAAAGAAAGTTATTATATAAGTCGTATAAATATTTTATAAGTCAGTTAATAAAATCCCACTGGTAAAACTTTCTCAAAGAACAAAATACGAATGGCACAAGATATCGCATATATGCATAAGCATATAAGTACAAAAGTAGAAAATTATTTTTCCAAATAAAAAAATTTATATGAATGATATGATTTAATAATTCAATGAACCATTGATAAATGCACATGTAACAACATGCAATGACTATCTCTGTCTCTTATGGTTAAGAATTTATATGTAAAATAATAAAGAAGCCATTTTGTTTATAAACGACGCATCATTGAAAATGTTTGTTCGGTATTGTAATAGATCATAAAAAACTGA